TGTTTAAACTAAATGTTTTTTTAGAAATGTGTTGAGGAGTAAATTGTCGAAAGGTATAGAAACTGATTTTATTTTGCAATGAGGAAAACAAAAGTTATTTAAAAAATACTGAAACCGTAGAGGGAATCTCTCCCTAGGTGTGTGACGGAGGGTTAACTTTAATCCATTTTTTTTATTTATTATTTGAGATGAAATTTTACTCAAGACAAAAACAAACATGAACGTATACAATGAATAAAAAATATAATATTAAATAAAAATTTAAAAGTTTTAAACTTTTTTTAAAATTTTTAAACTAAGGCAAGCTTTGCCGGCTACTTATTAAAAACATTTTCACTTTTTAAACAATATGCTCTTTTTACAACATTAAAATAGTTTTTAATGTTAATACTTTTTTTACTTTCACATTTTTTTATAAAATTTAGTTGAGATTTCTAACCGATTTCAACACAACAAATACAATAATGAATGAGGTAACGAATATTGGTGACGAGTAGTGAGTACTGCGCCATCTCGAGGAACTTTTTTGCACATTAAAGTGCAAACCACTAAGCTGACTACTTTCTGGGAAAGACGGACAGGGGTGAATCAGATAAAGTTCAAAACTACCTCCACTTACCAACCCTGGTATAACCTCCAAAGTAACCTCAAACACTATAAGAAAACGCTATATTAAAACGAGACTGAAACAAAACATTTATTACGAAAATTACTGTATAACGTATCTAGAATTGGCCTGACTTGTCGAAGCCATTAAATTAAGAAGAAGAAGAAGAAGCACAAATGTTTGACTTTCTGCTGCGAAATCGCAGAGGGAAGTACGTACTTTCGACCGAGGTATGAAGAAAAAAACATTTTTATTTGGCCATTGTCTCTCTTAAACGCCAACAAACGACAGAACGAATTTTGTTTAAAAAAAGTTATTGTAAAATGAATTTTTTGCAACTTTTTGAACAAAATCTTTTTTTCCTAAACCAATTAACTAAAAGTGCATACAAAAGGGGTGAAACAATTAACTTTCGTTTGGAACTACAAAATTTTTTAAAATAGTATTTTTTAATAATTATTTAATATTAACAGTTTTATTTCCTCATATAGGGTGTCGATTTTCTAAGAATCAATTATTTTTACAAATTTTCAAGTATAGTGTATATATAATATTTCAACATGGGGAACAAATTCTCCGGATGTATGTGTGTAGATGCATTTATTTGGTAGACACATGTTTAAGGCCAAGTCGAAATGTTTTTTCAACATTTCGATGAAAAAAAATACTTTTTATTTCTCGTGAAAATTTTATAAATTTTGAACCTTTTTTTTAAATTATTAAATTTTAATTATTATTAAATTGTTTTTAATCAAAAATCTTTTCATTTTTATTATAAATATTTATAAAAAGACAATAAGTAATTGCTTAAGTCATGTAAAACGTTGACTTAAAATCATAACCTCAATTCGTTCAAATAAGTTCACCGGCAATGTCAAATAAGATCATCTTATTTGACTATGAATACTTGGCATTCTTAAGATGGGACTATGCATCTCAAAGTCAAAGCATTTACTTTATCAAGCATATGCTTAAGTTGCGGCTTAAGGCAATGCTTATTGCACGACTATGAATTTAGGTGGCAGCTTAAGTCGCTGCTTAAGAAATAAGTATCGACTATGAATACCGCCCTTGGATGTATAAATTCGAAGTCTTGAATATTACACAACCAAGTCCTCGACGTTCAAATCTCCCGCTCAGATTATCTCACGTGCCGGAAAAATCCCAGGCTAATGGAGCGTTCAGACCTCTGCAGCCTGTCTGTCTGCCTGCAGGTTGCCATGGTAACGTACAAGAGTAAGAGAGTAAGGAAATTCAAATTTATTACACCTTCTCCCTTACTCTTATTGCTTCTGGCTGCGCAGCCAGGCAGCCTGCAGAGGTCTGAATGCTCCTTAATGGGCGCGAACCAAGTACCCTTGGTTCTACAGCGTCCGCCGAGCGAGGCATTTATCCGACTGAGCTAATCTGTCGGTCATTAAAAGTTTACTATTAATTTGTAAACAAATTTTTCAGTAGATTTTTGGAAAATTATTTAATGAAAAGTGAAAAGAAATGAAAAGAATTAAATGAAAAAAATTATAGAAATAAAATAAATTAAATGTAATTAACAATTTAATTCTATTGCGGAATATATTAAAGTAAATATAATTAACACTTTCATTCGATTGGAATAAATTAAAGTATAGAGAATTAACAATATAATTTAATTGAAGAATTTTAATTAAATTTAAAGAAATTCAATTCAATTAGAACAAATTAAATTAAATAGTAAAATATAAATAAATTTTTTTATTGAATCTTATTTAATTAAAATAAAACAATTAAATTAAAAGGAATAAGATTGAAACAAATAATTAAAACTTCACCCGATTGATCTAATCTTGAAAAAAATAATCTTCATCATTAAAATTTTACTCCATTTGAAAAATTGTGTTTTATTTTTATTTCTTTTTAATTTAATTTATTCTAATTAAATAAGATTCCTAAATAAATTAAATTTTTTATTTTAATTTAACTTTTTTTATTTGAATTAGATTTTTCTTTTTAATTTAATTTATATTCTTCAAATTTAATTGAATTGTTTAAACTCTAAATAGTGTTAATTAAATTTGATTTAATTTATTCCACTTGAGTTAAATTTCCTAATTGAACATTTAAAATTTTACCTAATTAAATTAAATTGTTAATTCTTTCTAATGTGTGAACAATCTAATACTATAAATTAGATTTTAAATTAAAAAAATTTTAAATAAATTAAAAATTTTATGTTGCTGTTCTAAAATATTTATATATTGATAAATTCGTAATTACAATTATTACAAACAATTTTGCACTGGATATATTTGGTCATTATTTGAAAAAAAATTGAGAGACATAAGACATTAGTAAATCCAAGTATCAGATTAAGTATATCGGTTTTTCATTTGATGAGGGTCACTATCTCTTCTGGAACATTAAACTCGAATGCACATCGGAAACCTCAGTTTTTTATCATTTTACAATCTTCCGATAAATTATATTAGTTTTTAAACATCTGGATCCACTAGTTTCATTTTCTTCCACTTTTAATTGAATTCGTCTAATTTAATATTATTTCTATAATTAGGGAAGTGTTGTTAGAGTTGGGCATAGTTTTGACTTTTCTTCATAACTTCCCCTGTAGAACGAATTTCGAGATTTCGCGCATATTGTTGGAAAGATCAACTCAAATGCAATGTTTTTGCTGAACATTGTAAAAAATTTGACCAAAAGATTCAGAGTTATAAGCAATTTTTAAAAAAAATGTCAGAGTTGATCATGGTCGTTAGAGTTGGGCCACTGTAGAAAATCAATGAAATATTTAGGTAGATGATTAAAAATGACCTTCAAATGATAGAATGACACTTGGGAATGAGGAAAGGAACCATGAAATTAAAATAAAATCCCATATTATGCATTTTCATATAACTTTAGATAATTTATTTCTCATGAACGAAATCCAAAATTGAAAAAATGAAAAAAGGTTATCAAAAAATTTTTTTTTCTCTTTCCAATGAAAATGGAGTTCTTAACACCTCTTTAAGTAAAAAAATAAATTTCTGTTGCAAGTACGCTTTGTAATTCCAAAATTTTCCTCATGGCCCAACTCTGACTCACGCGTCGTTTTGCGTCATAGGGGCACAGAACACAAACGCGTTACACAAACACAAAATTACTTTACACATTTTCTCATATCATCTTAATGAACAATTTTTGTAAACTTATTTTGTCTTTGGCACATTTCTTCTATATTTAGTTCTCTTTTTTTGACACCACAAAAAAGTTTTTGCTGAGCCTACATCACAAAGTGGTACGATAGTCAAGTATAGGTTCATATACTTAACTGCGACTCATATGAAAAGATGGCTGACATTAGTAGCAAGAATTTTCGTAAAAAGATATATGGCGCTAATGCGATAAAACAAAATAAACGCGGTGGCCCAACCCTAAACCCTGTCCAACTCTGACAACTCTCCCCTATTAAATATTTATAATTTATTTTATTTCTATTTATCATTTAATTTTATAATTTTATTTCTTTATTTATTTCTTTATTATTTTTTCGATTTTTGTTTCGGGAAAATATTAATAGTAATAAATATATCCGATTATATTTTTTAATATCGATTTAAAATTGTTTTTGTTTATTTAGAACAATAGTGAGAAGCTAATTATATTTTTTCCTTTGCAAATTTTATCTCACGATCATGTCTTTTTTTATTTTTTAAATATTTTATTTTAAAGATCTATGCGAAATTCTGCGCGCATAATGATAAAGTATAATTGATGGAAATTCCATCTTTAGAAGTGTATAGATTGAATTAGCGTTTTCTCTAAATGTGATTCACGATTAAGATATCAAAAGGAGAGCCACGCCTTCTCTATCAAAGACTTAAGAGAGTAAATTTAAAAATTTGTAGGTGTGCATATTAGACACAGTTAAATGTATTGACCTGTAAGAAATTTCACATTGGCATTGAACTTTCTCCGTGCGGCTCCCCCTTTGCCCCTTCTTTTTTTGCCAAAACTTGTTGAATCGCTGATCGTTTCAGGTGAGTATCCACCGGCTCGCATGAAACTAGGTCAGCATTGGTTGCTCCATTAATTAACAAAGATTAGCAAAGGAAAAGAAATTAACAAAACAGATATATGCTCTCAATCATGAAAATATTCAATTTTCAAAGAAAATAATTAACTTGAAAATTAGAATTGATTAAAAAAATAACTATCCTTTTGTTTCGAGAAAATGTGGATATTGTAAAATTGTTTCTTTTTTATTGCAAAAAGAATGAAAAAGTTAAAGTAGAGATGAAGAGGAAGATGAAAAATATGGCGTTAAGTTTTGGGGGAAAGGAAAAGGAGCAATTTAGCAAAAAAAACAAGAAAAAGGAAGGCCAGTAACGGTGTGTCTTGAATTATGTTGGAAACTTACTGGAACAGTGAGCAGAGTAAATTCTGACCTCTGCGAATCTCTGACTATTGATGCGAGTGCTGTTATTGCGGACATGTTTGACAATGCAAGGGCCACTAAACTCGATGCGAGATGAGCTGTTGAAAATCCTGAACTTGATTTACTTGCAAGGGTTGCAACCACTCCTAATGCACCGGAAACTAGAGCACTTGCACCCGCCCAAAGACCAGCTCCCGTACCACCCAATGCCGCTCCATGAACTAAGACTAGGATTCCAAATACGACTAGAACGACTCCTGAAAAAGTAACAAAAAAAATTATATTTAAATTACACAATCTATATTAATAACACAAGCCTACAAATTTCAGACCCAGAAACGGGATGAGTCATTTCCGATGTAATTTGTCACCCTGAATCCAAAACTGGCAGCGAAATTGCTCTATCACGTCAGGATTCTGAGATATTCTAACCTAAAAGAGTAAAAAAAGGCCATTTTTGGCAACATTCGACTCTCAATAAAAATTACAAAAATTTTTTTTATCATTGGAACAAATTTTAAAAGAAAGTACAATTATTCACCTTTCAAAATATTCTACACCCGATCCGATCCGACTTTTTTTCACTAAGGTACAACAATTTAAAGTTTAGGTTACACGACCTAAAAACTGAAAAAAGAAGAAAAGAATAATTGGAAAGTACTTTAACTTAAGCATCTGATTCTTAATATTTTGGGATCGTTGATTAGAAAACCGATGTCGGATTTTCAAAATTCAAAATGGCGGATCCAATATGGTGGCTGTCAAAATAAAAAATTGATCGGATTCGCTTGAAACTTTTTACTCGGGGGTTTTTGAGGTCGCTAATTACGAATCCGATATCAGATTTTTGAAATTCAAATTGGCGGATGAAATATGGCGATATACTTTTAAAAAATTTAACGGATTCGCTTGAAACTCCCCAGGCAGAAAAGTTGGAGGTGTGTCAGCACTAACGACCGGCATGGTACCGAACCGGTTGTAAAGTCGGACTTATGCCGGTACCGGCAAAAAGGTACCGGGCCGGATATGAAATAAATACCGGCCCGGTGGTAAATGTGGATTTGTACCGGTACTGGTAGTGTGTACCGGGCCGGTTGATTAAAAATATCTGGCCCAGCACCGGCCCGGTACTATAATTTACTTCTGTTTATATACCGCCAAAGAAGATTTGCCGGTGATAATTTTTTTACCGGCCCGGTATTGTTATTTGGGTCTTTTTTTTACCGCCGAAGGAGATTTGCCGGTTATAATATTTTTACCGGCCCAGCACCGGCGTAGCACCGGGCCGGTACTGTCATTTCGCTCTGTTTTATACTGCCGAAGGAGATTTGCCGGTGATAATATTTTTACCGGCCCAGCACCGGCGTAGCACCGGCCCGGTACAGTCATTTCGCTCTGTCTTATACCGCCGAAGGAGATTTGCCGGTGATAATATTTGTACCGGCCCAGCTAATGTTAAACTAGCAGAAAAAGAATTAAAGAAGAGAAAAAAATTTGAAAATTAATTTATTAATTTAATTATTAATAATAAATTAATTAGTTAGTTATGCCGGAAATTATATTAATACCGGGTAGGTTGTTTATTGGTGCCTGCCCGGTATCTAGCCGGTGAATAGGGCGGTTATTATTATTAGGCCAGTCGGTGAGTGCAAAAAGTGCACATAAGTGCAACCTGAAAAGTCAAAGCAGTTTCTTGTAGTTCGAGGGCCCCAAATAAGAGCCCCATAGTTTGCACCACATTTCCGGTTGCGAAAAATGGTGTAAACAATCGCCAAAGTTCGAAAAACATGGTTTTTCGATGACTGTTGCTTCCGGTTAAATTTTAGGGGAAAAAGTTGTGATTGAAAGTTATAGAGCTTGGAAATAGCTTTCAAATGATTGGTCGCAAGTTAAAAAAGCTTAATTAGTTTAGTTGCAAATGAATTTAAACCATTAAAAATAGCACTTTTTTAATTGTTTAATAACTTTGTTAATAATTATCGAATTTGTTTCTAACATCCCAGAAATATTCCCCTTGCGAGGCTGAATAAATCCCAAAAAAAATCAACTTGATCGGGTAAATAGTTTATGCATAATTCCATTTGTTAACTAAAACATATAATTTTTCAACGGAATTTCCCCACTTTTGGACCTGCGAATTTCGTTTTTTTTTCTTGGCGAGTACAGTTAAGGAGTTTAACTTTAATTCCATTTAAATGGGAAATTGATTTTTTTTATTTAAGTGCATAATAATAGACGTTAAAAAAGGGTATGTTTTTTTGACATAAACAAATAGAATAACTCGGCCAATTTTCACTTTATCGATTTCGTGTAAAGGGCATTTGATTTCATTTGTTTTCACAAAACTTTTCCAAAAAAAAAATCCGATCTAACTTCAAGAGGTGGAGAGTTAACTTTTTTTAAAAAAAAAATTCCTGACAAGTTAAATATTAATGTTTTTTATTGAAATTCGCACCACTTACAGTTTGATACATGTATTTTATGTAAAAAAATTAAACATAAGGTTTTGTGCATTTTTTTTTAATTTATAACAAGTAAAAGTAAATGTATCCATTTTTCAACCTCTGAACGGCGGAGTGGGGGTACTTGCAAAAATGGCCATAACTTCGTTAATTATTTACCGATTTTTATCTTTCTTTTTTTAATTTGATGTATTTTTTTACGCCGAATCCAAAAATGATTTTATATGTTTTCAAATTACAATATTTTTAATAATAAAAAAAAAATTTTTCAACAACAAATTTTTAATTATTATTTATCATATTTGACAAAAAATTCTTTTCGTACATATTAAATTTAATTTAAAATTAAATTAAAAAATAAATTAAATTAAAATTAAATTAAATTAAATTAAAATTAAATTAAATTAAAAAAATTTAAATTTAAATAAAATTAAATAAAAATGTTAATTAAACATTAAATTTAAAATAATATTATGACATAAAAAAATTAAAATTAATTATATATAAGCTTGTAGCATCAGGTACACATATGCACGCCTGTTCAACTATCAATACAACAATGCTACACACTTATAAGTAAATAATTTTATTTTTTTTATGTCATAATATTATTTCAAATTCAATGGAATTATATGTACGAAAAGAATTTTTTGTCAAATATGATAAATAATAATTAAAAATTTGTTGTTAAAAAAATTTTCTTTTTTATTATTAAAAATATTGTATTTTGAAAACATATAAAATTATTTTTGGATTCAGCGTAAAAAAATACATCAAATTAAAAAAAGAAAGATAAAAATCGGTAAATAATTAACGAAGTTATGGCCATTTTTGCAAATTTGAACAGCTGAATTCAGTTGTGGCGGCGAGAATTACGCTCCTCCGAGTACCCCCACTCCGCCGTTCAGAGGTTGAAAAATGGATACATTTACTTTTACTTGTTATAAATTAAAAAAAAAATGCACAAAACCTTATGTTTAATTTTTTTACATAAAATACATGTATCAAACTGTAAGTGGTGCGAATTTCAATAAAAAACATTAATAATTAACTTGTCAGGAATTTTTTTTTAAAAAAAAGTTAACTCTCCACCTCTTGAAGTTAGATCGGATTTTTTTTTTGGAAAAGTTTTGTGAAAACAAATGAAATCAAATGCCCTTTACACGAAATCGATAAAGTGAAAATTGGCCGAGTTATTCCATTTGTTTATGTCAAAAAAACATACCCTTTTTTAACGTCTATTATTATGCACTTAAATAAAAAAAATCAATTTCCCATTTAAATGGAATTAAAGTTAGACTCCTTAACTGTACTCGCCAAGAAAAAAAAACGAAATTCGCAGGTCCAAAAGTGGGGAAATTCCGTTGAAAAATTATATGTTTTAGTTAACAAATGGAATTATGCATAAACTATTTACCCGATCAAGTTGATTTTTTTTGGGATTTATTCAGCCTCGCAAGGGGAATATTTCTGGGATGTTAGAAACAAATTCGATAATTATTAACAAAGTTATTAAACAATTAAAAAAGTGCTATTTTTAATGGTTTAAATTCATTTGCAACTAAACTAATTAAGCTTTTTTAACTTGCGACCAATCATTTGAAAGCTATTTCCAAGCTCTATAACTTTCAATCACAACTTTTTCCCCTAAAATTTAACCGGAAGCAACAGTCATCGAAAAACCATGTTTTTCGAACTTTGGCGATTGTTTACACCATTTTTCGCAACCGGAAATGTGGTGCAAACTATGGGGCTCTTATTTGGGGCCCTCAAACTACAAGAAACTTTATAAGCTCACTTTGCATTTACTTTCCATATGCAGGTTTAGGTTAGCAAATGTGGTGTCGACTTTGCAGCCTCAGGGTCCTGAGTTCAACTCCTCGAATCTTCAGATTTTTCTATAATTGTTTATGTTTCTCTGTTTCAGCATTTAATATATTTACTGTCTCCAATTTAAAATTAATAATAACATTGATAATAATAATAATAATAATAATAATAATTAAACAATTAATCAGACTGACATGTAATTTTTTTAACCGGCCCGGTACCACACCGGTTGTTTTTTAGTGCCGACCCGGTACTGTGTCAGATATTCATTAGTGCCGGCCCGGTACGGTTGCCGGATACCTACCGAAGTTATCATCCGGCAATTTACCGGTACTGTGCCGGTGGAATGAACAGATTTATGCCGGTACTGGACCAGTACCTAGCCGGTTGTGCAGCCGGTAATAAACCGGCACTAAATGCCTTCCAACAATAACCGGGCCAGTACCGCCCCGGTGGATTATTCGGTACCGGCCCGGTACGTATGCCGGATACCTGCCGCAGTTATCATCCGGCAATTTGCCGGTACCGAGACGGTAAAAATTACGGTCTTATGCCGGTACCGCCCCGGCACTTATAATAATTCGCCGTTTGTACCGGGCCGGTACCATCCCGGTCGTCAATTTCTACCTGGGTCTTCACTAGGTGTTTTTGAGGTCGCTTATTACGAATCTGGTGTCACATTTTCGAAATTGAAAATTATTGTGGATCTAATATGGTATTATATATGTTAGTAAAATCGAAAAACGTGAAATTCGAAGTCTTTTGAGTACTTGAAAAAAAGATTTCCACACCTATAGATATCTAAATTGAGAAAAGATGTATTTACAGGTCCAGATATAAGCAAAGGAGTGATTCTGTATTATATTCTAAAAACGAAACCAACTATACGAAGATCAATTAAAGAAAAATGTGTAAAGGTTCATAAAGAATAATAAAACTTTGAATTTTCTTTACTAAAAGAGTGT